GAGACGTGTATTTCCACATACACATAATATCACGTCATGCAGACATCCCCTTGAAATGCATCCCATACAGAGTCAAACATTTCTGGTCGGCATCTGTGAATACGCAAACCTGTGAGCGGATCTAATGACGCTAAGATCAGGCAGTGATATAAACATGACATCAGGGTGCACACACCTGTCTCCATGAAAACCTGCTGCCCAGAAGTAGTCGTGATTGGAATTCTGGTTCTTTCAAATAAGCTACTACATTTGTCTCTGCTCAGTCAGTTTTAGCTCACAAACTGCTCTGCATTCACTGTTGACTTTTATAATCAACTCACATTTAGCGATATTATGACCTTTGATTTGTACATGTGCACAGCTGACTCTTAGAATCATTTGAAAATGTGTATTTGCTTCTTTTATTGGTTTAGCCTGTGTGACGTCTCACATTCTGACACTTTTCTCATATATTCAAGTTGGACATGATTATTAGTATTAATGTGTTGGTTTATGCAGCAATCGGTGCATCTTTCGTGCACTTATAATTAACTCAATAGTCATTTACTCAGCCTGAGGGGAAAGAGGCATGTACACACTCAAGATTAGTGCAAACATTTTTCAATCTGTAAGTCAGAGCCTTTCTTCAAGGCATGAACCAGCTGTTTAGTCAAGTCCAGCTGCCAGTGTGTGACAGCAGCAAGGCTTCCGTCGGAGAAGCGGAGCCGGCTCATAGAATAAAATTCTTCATAAGCAACACATGATTAGGAAGTAGACCCCAAAGACAGAAGTGTAATTTTAACCAAAATAGAAGCACAGCATAATAAAAAAACCAAATTCCAATATTTGCTGTACACAGTAAAGGGAACGTGTGTTTTCTCACCCAAGTGAGCGGGATGCTTTCCAGCTTCCTCGTAAGATAAGGAACATAAACTGGGCGACTCTAACTGTTTGATTTTGAGCAGTTGATGTGCAGTGCATGCTGGTACATGTACACTGCAGTGAAGGCTATTTGAGCTGTGGAATATCAATTATTTTAAAAGCCACCAAAGCAGCTTCATTTCTAATGGAAACCATGAAGCACTTGAGTAGGCTGGATAGTAGCGTAATAAAAAACTACACGAGCCTCGACTGCTCCGTGGACATGCATTAAGTCCCAGCATGAAGCGTCCACACAGTCCAGAACATACTCACAGCCATCCTCTGTAAATGCAGGTTGGAAATAATGTTAAGCACAAAAGCCCAAACAATGACTTTTGGTTTTTGGCCGTGCACACAGATCAGACCAATCCTGCAGAGTCATCCTCATGCTGCAGCAGATGCAGAGCTGCTGAGCTAAGATCCAGCAGAGCACAGCAATAACAACTACTATGCCAACAGTCAACACAGCGCGCACGCACACACACACACACACACACACACACGCACACACACACACATACACACACACACAGGAATTAAACCTCATTTGGATGCAAGTTGTGGGTAAAGTACATTGCATTGGTTTGACTGCAGAGGCACTGCAGCTCTTTAATGTGAGCCATTTGGGAACCTCCTATCTGAGCTTAATTAGGCCAAAAGCTCAAAATATCTAAATAGCAGTTAAAAGTGCGACTGAGCAGCCTAAGAGATCATGCTAAAGCTTTGTGTGAACTATTTTTATCAAAGCATTGATAAAAACAGGAAATCAATGTTTGCAATCACATTAATGCCATGTGGGAGGAGACAGGGGGCAACACCCATTACTCTCCTCCTCATCAGGCTCCATTCAGGATGAAGACATGTTCATGCTGAAAGTAAAACCATATCCTCATGATGATATAGCAAAGATATGTTGCCTATGTGCACATCCAATAGACATTGAACAGAATTTGAAGTTGTGTTTATGGCCACTGGCCTTGTTTAAATAATGTAGATATATTTTTGAATGGATATTTTTGAATGGCACGGTATTTTTCCCCCCTTCATTTAAAAAAGACTGCAAACGCTAAAACATGCTATGCTAGTAGGTGGTGATGAAGTCTACATCGATGATCCGTCAAAGAAGAACACTGTGGTCCAAATAACATTGGAGACTGAGAATGTTGGTGCAATAATGCAAAATTTTGCTGCAAACTTAACCGAGACCTGGCAGTGCAAACCAATCAGAGAAACCGCCCATTTACCGCCAGTGTTGTTGTTGTTTCTGGCACAGGCTCATTACACAAAGCAGTGATATCATTGTTTCCAAATACTCCTTTTACATGCACACACACATGCATGGAAACTAATTTTTGGAAAATCTGCACTTTGGAAGGCATTTGCAAAATCTCTGTTTTAGTGACTCAAAAATGCCATTTGACCTTTTGTAAATTATCTGCTTTAGTGCGGAGAGGGCATCATATTCACTCACTATTTGATTTCTTCCAAAACAGTGAAGCTGTGGACTGTAAAACCAAAACAGTCAAGTAAAGCACACAGACACTAAAATGATAGACTCTCGAGCTGAGAGGAATAACAGTCATGTTACAAATCATTTGTTTAACTGTAATAATTTAAAGATATTTATTAATGCCCCTTTAAGAGTCACAAATAAACCATACAAAGGTGCTTATATTATTATAAAACGTGCAGATTGGGGTTAGCTTAATTAGAGACTCTAAAAATGTTTATAAGTGTGAATGTGAGTTGGTTGTTTGTTTGTATGTACCTGTGATATGCTGGAAAAGCTGGATATGTTGTGTGTCTGGGAGACTGTGATTGGTTGTTGGTTGTTATGACGATCATGCCAGCACCAAAACAGAGCCTTGAGTGGTCATGCTGATGTTGCCCGACATCTGCTGGATGTGTGTGAAGGAAAGGTTTTTCTTCCAAGTTCTCATATTAACATAAAAGGTGATAATGTGTCTGTTACATTTACAGCTTGTTTCAGCTCCATCCAAGAGACCAAAGTATCTGTTTTCTCACAGGTTATTGCAATTTTCTGGGAAGGCATTTTTGAAAACATAGACACAACTTTTCTTGTACTGTTTGTATGTAATATTAGAGCACCCCTACGAGAAAGGTACAAGTAAAATATAGTTTCAACTGCTCAGGCTTTGACAAATTCTTCAAACACAACAGTCTGAGAGCAGAACATCAACCTTTAAATTACCTTTTCAGTCCTGTCCAGGAATCCTGAGTAGACATTGATGGTCTTTAAAAGGTGACAAATCCAATCTCATTTAGCTTGCACACGCATGCCCTGTTCCAAGCCACAGCTGCTCTGCTTTGAGGTAACATCCTCTCTAATTTAACATTGTGCAAACAACTGAGTTAAACAGTGACCCGTGTTGCCTCTCATTCAGATAAAACCACTTAGATGGAAATGATGCTCCTCCCTGGCAGCGATTGCAGCCATGGTGTGCTGAGCAATACACAAATCCAGAGGAGACTGCATGGGTACATGCATTTTTGAACAATTTGCACAGACAGAGACCTGAAATTTACTGGATCATATGTGACACTACCGCAATGGTGTTGCACTCTTAAGGGTCAATTGTAGTTTGTGATGGTAATTGTTGCAGGAAAAAAGAAGGGTTGAATTAGATATTTTCCCTGCATGGACGCATCTAATCAAACACCATGCTGTGCAGATGAATGCCAAGTCACCATGGTGACGGTCAGTCCGCCACTTGAGAGGAGTGTGAGTAGGAGAGCTGCCATTGGTTGTGAATGCTGAGGGGCAGGATGGAGGAACCTGCTGCCGACAAGATGGCCATGCTGCAAAGGACAAGAGTGACCTGCACCAAAGGACAGTAAACAACACCGAGCTCCAGACTTGTTTTGCTTTCTTTCCCTGCATCCACACACTACACAGCGTATAATAACTTATAGATAAAAAGCATGGATTACAGCACAGGACTACGAGTGCAGGACCACGGGGAACTACTTAATAGAGACTTAGAAAAAAATGAATAGAAACAACAAACACTCTATTTCACAAAGAGACTTAAAACAACTACAAAGAGACCAACAGACAAAGAAAAGCTCCAAAATGATCAAGGAAAAACTAAATGACTATGGCTCCTATGTTGTCTCTTGTCTGTTCCCATCAAACCATTCTCTCCACCCAAAATAATATGTATTCATTTGCAGATGCTTGCTTGTATATGGTCTACAACGGACTATCTACATGCCTAATTCTGACGATAAGCATTTTGGGAGCATAGAGAAGTAGACTGTAGGACCATCGGTTGTCATTAGCTGTTTAAAATATACCCTGTGTTTTTGTGTCAAGGTTATTCAAGAAGATCTGACAGAGTCAGAGCCACATTCAGTTCTACACTGTATCCAGTCATTCATTCATTAAAAAATGCACTGCCAGGCTTTTATTCTATAACTACGTGGAACTGAAATAGTCAATTCAATGAACACTGGCCTAACCCCACACAGCCAAACTGGATCAAGCTTTGATATGATTAGAGTGACTTGTTCACATTGACAGTCATGGAGAAAAGAGGTGTACCTCTGTTTTCTGTCAGGTGGGACAGAGACCTTCCTGAAAAACAGAAATGCTGCAAGGTCAAACTGCAGCGGCGGCCAACCTGTCACGACTTCACTGCCTGCAAACATGGATGACACTTACTTTGGCTCCAAGACACAGGGAGCTCTCTCTCCAGCCACCGACATCTACCAGAGAATACTACTACGAACACACTGCCTGTTATTGCTCCGGTGCAAACATGGCTCTGACACGCACAGGCCCTGGAGGAGGTTACGCGCTTGAACACGGGCGCACAGGATGACAACACGCGCAAACATCTGGAGGAGCGCAGTGCGCAGCATCCCTCGATCAGCTGCATCAAAATAAACAGACGCTGCAGGAAATAGTCTGAGCCATGGGAAACACGCACGGCAATGCTCCACACATTTCCCGCAGGATACTCAACTCATGGGTTATCATTAATGCACGCTACACGTCTCACTCCACAGCAGCATCCTCTGTAAAATGACAGCTTTGCAGCGGACACTGGTGATTTCAACGCGCGCCCTGGCCTTACCTGTGCCCGCTGTCCTGCGTGTGGCTCTCACTCCTGTCGTAGCTCCATCGCTTCGCTTTTCACCGTCTCCCCGCTGCGCTTCTTCACCGGGATGCTCCGCTGGATGGAGCCGTGATCCAGGAGCACACGCCCGGGGCGGAGGGGGAGAGAAGGGGCGGAGAGGAGAGGGGAGAGGCTGGGGACGCTGGAGGTGGAGGAGGATGGTTGCTGCGTGAGGAGGAGAGGCACAAGGGGATGTGGACGGAAGCATGTGCGTCACGTTACGTCGTGTTTTTCTTTTAAAGGGAAACTCCACTTCATTTGTTAAAGCCTCAGGCCCATACAGCTCCTCACTCACAAGAACACTGTGATTCAGCATCTTCACAAACAATGTGCATTTTAATTTTGGTTCATTTTATTATTATAATTACTCAAGGTCTTTGTACACACTCATCAGGTGACCTGTGTAGGCCTGCACTGTCATTGTGGAACCTGAACCAGCTCTGATTTAAAAAAAAAATATATAATGATATATAATTATAACTATTTTAGTTCTATCAAAAAGGAAAGTTTTAAATCAACTCTTGGGGGGTGCCACCAAACTAAAACTGGTAGATGATTCCACAGGAGAGGAGCTGTATGCTGAAAGCTCTGGCTCTAGCTCTACTTTTGGAGACTTTAGTGACAACAAGTAAGCCTGAATTCTGGGAGTGCAGTAGGGTTATATGGAAAAAGGTATGATGGTGAGTTTGAGTGAGTTTGTATAGATAAAGAATGTGTGATGGATGATGAGTTGATGAAGTTGTCTGGAAAGGAAGAAAACTGAAACTGAATACTGAAAATACTAATAAGGTTTCAAAGAAAGAACCACAGTATTACTCCTCTCAGTCAGAGGGAAACACAAAAAACCCTGATACACTCTCTGCGGTCCAACACTGGGAAGCTGCTGCAGGAGTCAGCCGAAATTTGTCAGTGTGCCCTTACCTTTTATCAGGAACTCTACAAAACAGAGTTCCAGAATGAACCAGCGCGGTCCTTCTATGAGGCCTTCCTAAAGTCTCTGAGGAGAATAATGCAGAGCTGGAGGCGCTGCTCTCTGCTCAAGAGCTGCAGGAGGCCCTGCAGAGCATGCAGAGCGGGAAGGTTCCTGGGATAGATGGTCTCCCGGCAGATTTTTGCAAGACTCTCTGGCCGGTCATTGGTGAAGACGTGTTGGTTGTTCTCAGAGACAGCCTGAGTAAGCGGAGGTTTCAAAAATACTATGTACCCAGCAGGTTGATATCTGACAACATTACTCTAATCCGGGACATTTTGGACCCCTCTGTTTCTTTTGGTCATGAGCTTGGTCTCATTTCTCTAGATCAAGAAAAGGCTTTTGACCGAGTTGAACACTGGTACTTGTGGCACACGATGCAAGTGTTTGGGTTCAGCTCTGGTCTCATAGTCAAGATCCAGGTCTTGTTAACTAACATTGAGAGTGTACTTAAGATTAACGGTGGTTTAAGTGTTCCTTTCAGTGTTCAGAGGGGAATCAGACAGGGTTGCTCTTTTTCTGGCCATTGAGCCTTTTTAACATAAACTAAGGTCACGTTTGTCTGGGCTATCTTTACCTAGGTATGGAAACTGTTTTAAATTATCTGCATATGCCTACGATGCTATTTTTCTTGTAAAAAACCAACATGACATCAACATTCTAAGTGTTCTAATTTTAGTGAACTCACCTCTGCTAAAGTGAACTAGAATAAAAGCGAAGCCTTAGCAGTAGGTGAAGGACTGATCAACAAGTTGGTTTTACCTATAGGAATCGTGTGGAAAAGAGGAGGCTTTAGAAATCTTGGGGTTCCTCTTGGTGATAAGTTTCTTTTCAAAACTGGGATGGCATTTAAGAAAATGTTGAAGGAAAACTGAAAAAGTGGAAATGGATTTTACCAAAACTATCTTTTAAAGGTCGGCTCTTGATCATCAACAACCTTGTGTCCTCCATGTTGTGGCACTGGCTGTTGTGCACAGACCCTCCTGCAAACCTGCTGTCCAGAATGCAGGTGATCATTCTCACAAACTGTCTCATCTTCTAAAATTTTACCAAGGATTGTTGATTGTGTGGGCGATGTTCCTCAAACAGAGACAAAAAGACTGTGTTTCCCTGACGTGGCTTTTAAAAGAGCCCATTGTTTTCAGCACCCGTCTCAACGCAGAGCGAGCAGCAGGACCCTCCATGCAGCGGCTGCTTTGCTCGGCAGGGGTTGTAAGTTACCCTCAGACACGTGGTGGAAGTATGTGGACCTCGGTTGACAAATGCTGCAGAGCAGGCCTCTTGTTTGGGAGTTCGATCCATCAGACAAATAAATCACCAGCTCAACTTTTGGAAGTTTGAGCTGATACAAACAGAACTTTTCTCGGTAAACACATTCTGTAATGGACACTGTCAGCCAAATGCTGATGATCCTTTCCCTGCACTGACTCTTGTTCCTGTTTTCAAAACCTGTACTGGTCAGCTGTTGAAATCCAGTGGGGCCCGAAGAAACAGTTTCAATGTCCTGGAAGTAAAAAATGTACAAACTGCTGGTCAAAATCAACAAAAAAAACTCAATGGTCGAGCTGACACTCCCTGGAGAACCCACCTAGGCCTTCACAGTGGGGTCCAGCCTGAGAGAAATCTACAAACTACCAGTGACTAAAGAGTTGGAGACGCAGTGGAGAATCCTGCATGGTATTAGAGCTGTAAATGCTTTTGTAGCTGTGATAAACCCCAATGTCAGTGATGGATGCTCGTTCTGCTCAGAGAGAGAAACCATCTGTCACTGTTTCCTAGACTGTGGCAGACTGGTTCCTCTGTTTCAGCTGCTGCAGAAAATATTCAGGAGGTTTGGGAAAACATTTTCTGTGCAGGTGTTCATCCTTGGTCACAAATGCATAAAAAACAGAAAGTTAAAGGTCGACTGTTATACTTTGTTGTAGGTCAATCCAAAATGGCAATCTACACCAGTACAAACAGCAAAATAGAAAACTATGCAAACTGTGATGTACCACAACTTTTACAGCTTGACAAACAATCTGGAAGAATTCAGATTTGTTATTTGTTCTGTTAACGACCTGATTTTTCATCTATCTTGGGCTAATTTATGTTCTTTTTAGTTTTCTTGTATTCATTTATATATTTGTATTACTTTTAATTGATTGCTGCTCATTTTTGAAAAAAAGGATTGTTATGTACATAGAAAACCTTTTTTGAGCAAATAAATAAGTTTTGAAATCTCGATTTTTATGCTCCAGATGGGTTCTTGAAATTGCTTGTTATGCTAAGAAAACAGTTTTTGCCAAATCTAGGCTGTAAAAAGCCTTGTCAGAATTACCTGTCTCCAAAATGTCACCATCCTGGAGCTCAGTACATGGTGTACTCTGCCCAAGAGAGTACATGGAGAGATGTATTGTATAAATCTGATCTTGAAAACTAGTTATATCCCTCACCGCAGAAGCAAAGTGCTTTTACAAGCTATAAATCCAAAGTTAATGGATTGCATATGAATATAAATCTGTCAGTGACAATTAGACTATTTTTCATCCTCCATTAAATCTGTAATCTTAATGAAATCACCACCAAGTGTGTGACACCACCTCAAGGCTATAAATCTCAGAGCTAGTCAACATTTAACTACTCTACACACAAAACAAATGTGCCCAAACATATCCTCATTCACTGCTCCTGGTGCGACTGTGAAGTTTTACAAATAATTGCATATTATTAATATTAATGCACAAAATGTGTGATATTTCAGTGTGTTTGTAACAGCAGTGTTTAACAACATGTCTCAGAGGGAAGCCAAGACCTGTTCTACTAAACTGTCTGTAAAGAATGTGTTATATTATGTGGAGAATTTGCCATATCACATTTCTATTGCACATCATTTTCAGTTAATTGTAACTAAACGGCTGAGTAACATTTTTGCAAAAACATGCACAAATATCCAATAGGTTGCAGGTTAGTTCTACAATATACTGTCACTTTTTATCGTTTGTGTGCTGAGCTTTTCATAAAGAGCCTATGAAGAGTGAAGTCAGAAAACTTTGTGTTTTTTTCCTACCTGGTTTACCTGCACATGTTAGTGTTTGGGTTCTAACCTCTGACTTCATCACTCCCCCTAGATATGATTACATGACATAATGGAAGTGATGAGCTAAATATCATAGACCCTCATCTGAGCCTACAGGTGGGTGCTGGGGTGGTGGAGTTACTGGTGCAGCAGCAGCGGGGGCCAAGCAAAGGGGTTGATGGGAAATCTTTGCTTTTTAAGTAGATAGATGGTTAGATACTTTATTGTCATTTTAGGCATACAACGAAATTTGTTTGGTGACTCAGCAGCAGTAAATAAAAACAACAGAAATAGACGGGATAAAAATGATAATTGATGATTTTGATGTAAGCGTTTCTCTATAGTTTTCTGTATAGAGCTTATAAAAGTGCAGATTGTGCGATGTGAATGCTAGCTATGGGAGGATGGGGAGTGATGGAGGCTACAGCTCTGAGGTAGAAGCTGCTCAGTCTGCTTGTCCAGGCTTTGATGGCTCTGAATCTCTTCCCCAATGGCAAGGGGACAGACAGAGTCTGTCCTGGGTGGGTTGGGTCCTTACTGATGTTGCTACCCTTGCTGTGTAGCCTAGCATACACCATAGGTTTGGGAGCACAACCTGGACCAGGGCCTTTTTGTTCTCTGCACTGCAGCTGGTGTACCACCCTGTGGCACAGTGGCAGAGTCCACTCGGAGCTGGAATAGAACACTGAATTGGGAGGGTGTGTGTTATAGAGGATTATGGAGAGTGGGGCATGTTACGTGACTGCAGCAGTGCAGACGCCTGGACTAGGGCGCAAGCGTCGCTCCAAGTGTGTCTTATATATAAGTTTGAATGATTTACTGAGGACTGTAGCAAGAAATCAGATATTGAGCATTTACCTTGAAGATCAATTGCTTAAGAGGAAGTGATTCTATAAAAGTTGTTGCCAGATCAGCACCAACGACTCCTGATATGAAGAAATTATTTTAATTATTATATCAAATATCTGGCGGAAAGCTTTGACCTGTGGTTTGACCCATTACCCACCGCTGCTGTAGTTTATTTGAGGACGTAGAAGTAAACGCGTTCATCAAGTCACCAAATCACACCAATCTCAGCACTGCACTTCCCTGGGCAATTATAACAGACGTCAAGTGTGATGCTGATAAGAT